TTATAAAATAATTATTTTGACAAATAAATTTTCTCGTAATTATTTCAATATTATTAATTAATTAAATATTATTAATTAATAAAAAGTACACTTTAGTTGCTATAAATGCATTTACAGTTAAAATAATAAAATTAGTGTGCATATATTACATATATATTACATAATTGTCATATTACACAATTTATTTATGAATGAAGTTATCTATAAAAATGTTTTTTGTATTTTTTTATTTTTGAAAGTAGGAAAACAAAGTAAATAAAGAAATAATGATATTAAAGTAATAGAATTTATTTTGCTCTTCAAATATTCCCCGACAAATTTGATCTCTTTAGTAAAACTATCAATGCTCAATATCTCTATTACGTTCAAAATAAAATAGTGCAACGTGTCTGACCCAATGCGGCCCGTATCTACTGATCCATTAAGTGGCGCCACTCGCTGGTAGCAGATCGAACTAGGGTGATTGCGATGCTAAGCTTGGTCCAAATACCGAAAGGATTCCCCCGCCGTTTTCGGTAACATTGATGCAGGGCAAGGACAGGAGTTACGTTTATCTTATTGACTGATTCTTAATTGAAGTTCGAAATTACGAAGGAATGAAAATTTACGAGTGCTTATGTTTCTTATGTGAAAATGAGATAATTTCATTTGTCTGATGTTGAGATTGAGATATTAGAATCTGAAAAAAAAATTATTAAAATACAACAGATATGAATTTGTGATAACTGCATCCGTAATATATAATTGTATAAATGTATCCTATATATATCAAATATGTCAACAATTATTAATTATCAATTTACGTACATATGAACATTTGTATATGTGTGTGTGTACCCACACACATACGCGCGCGCGCGCGCACACACACACGCGCGCACACACACACACACACGCACGCACACACACACACACACGCACGCACACGCACACAAGTAAAGTCTAACATCGCAGTCTAACATCTACGTAAAAAAATATTTTTGCAATTAATTGAGGAAGTTGTTATTTTTGCTAGTTGATAATTAGACGGTATTCATTAAACTTCGAAATTGCAGTTTATTGGCGTTTACATTTTGTATTTGCGACGTAGCCGTTCGAATCAATTGATATACGCAAGAGGTAATTTTATGTTTTCATGCATGGTCTAAAATGACATTTGTGGTATTAATGAAAAGTTTCGAAATGCTTCATATAACGAAGCTTTAAAACATCGCGCACATTGATATCATCCTATATTTAATCTCTGGTATTGTCGCTAATTACAGAGTTAACCGTTCTGTAATTTGGCGCAAAAGCGATGCGCTTTATTCATGTAATTTCATAATAAATAGAAACAAGCAAAATCATAAAGCATATTATCATGTGATTAAATGGAAAGTCAATGTTTAGTCTCCACCATTTTAATATCAAATTATAGTTTCTGTAAGCCATTAACATACACTTACTTAATTTGTTGCATTTAGAAAACTTTTTTTAGATACGCTATTATTTATGTTCAAATTCTTTAAATATCTAATATGAACTATTTCTGTTGTTTTTTTATTTATATTTACTATATCTTTTTACAGATTCTTATACTAGCTAACCAAAAATAATGCATTTTACTTTCTGTAATTGTTTTATAACATATTTAAAAACTTGTAAATAATAATTAATCAGATAATTTTATACTGCTGCTAGCAGAAGACACAAAACTAATCATTCTTTGCAAATTTGTAAAAAATTAATTGTCTATACAAAATAATTGTAATTAAAGTAGAATCGAATTTGAATATTAAAGAAGATGACATAATTTTGCGCTTTCAGCACCGATATCAGAGAATGCCATGAGAAGTGAAATCTTGGTGACTTGCAGACAAGCTTGGCTCATGTTCAAGCTTATAAATAATTCCGTTTGTTGGCCGCAATTGCAGTACTCGCCGACTGCAAAGTGTAGGGGACAAAATGACATGTGGAACGCACGGTGACGCGATACTGAACACAGAGGAATCTATGAACTATTGGCATCAGACATTGCCAAAAAGGAATCTGCATCAACTGATATTTACTGCAATACAGATTTTGCTGTCACTTGCTTTATTACAACAATGATGCCACTTTTCGTTAATTCTTTCCGCAGGATGACTTTGTTATATTTCGATTTATTTATTTTTCATTTGAAAAAAAGAGTGTTTTAACGCATTATAAATGTAGAAGATTTTATATGTGTGTATATATATATATATATATATCTCTCATTATTTATTTCAAGTTATAAGTTTACTTTTTATTTTTGTTTACTTATTTTTAAAAAATTCAAAGTAAAATAAAAGTAAATAAATGGACAACACTATAAGAATATTCCTACACAAAGAAAGAAATTGATACTATAAAAAACGCTAACGTATA